CAGTGAAGGCAGAAATCCAGGTGAACATAGAGAAGACGGAGTTGATGAAGCAACAATCACCACCAATCACTATCGACGAAATAAATATGAAAGAGGTCACTTCCTTCAATTATCTAGGAGAGATCGTTTCAAATACAGGCAGTGGTCATGGATGAGAATGTCAAAGGCAGAAGAGGAAAGGTAAAGTACACCTTCATCACTCCAAGATCAGCTCGGAAATATTTTAATCTCAGCATACAGATCAAGAATCGGATATTCAAAATAAATGTTAAGTCAACCAGTCAGAAACTAGGCGTACGCATCAAAAAACCTTTACAACAGGTTGTAGACTGTTATCAACATCTGCCTTTGCATAATATAGCACGTCTGTCTCGTCAAACATGCACACATTGAAGAATTAGAATACTGAAACACTTTATATACATTTTTCTGAGGTCACCGAAAGCATGAATATGCAATAAGAATACTTAAAATTTCTCAGTAATATGAAAAATAGTCCAAGTTACTTCAGGGTAGTGCAAAGGCTTTATTACAACTAATAAAAAAATGTTCTACTGAGTTCAAGACGAACAATAAATGATTACAGGATTTCATTATGAGCTGATATTGGTTGGAATACGCACTCACCGGGGTTCGAACCCAGCATTTTCTAGTTACAAGGCGAGCTCGTAGACCATTAGGCCACTGGAACCCGATCCAATAGCCGGCGCATGAATTCTAACTTCTGTCAGTTCATTACTGGATGGGGTCCCTATGGCTTAGTGGTCAACTAGCTCGCCTTGTAACCAGAAGGTCCTGAGTTCAAACACCAATGGTTGTGTACTGACGAAGAGCCCCAAACTAGGACGAAACAGCTTTCCAGTACTCCCAGGTTTTCAAATGATTCTCTAACCAATGTCAATTCATGATGAAATCGAATCCCTACAAATTAACACTTGAACAAGCAAATAATTCTGAGCTTAAGCGTGAACATCTGATTCTTTTTCACACATTCTTTATCACAAATAATGTGGGTTTATGCAATAGTTCCAAAGACACTGAGTTATACTGTTATTCTTTGTTATTCGTATGAGCGGAAATCATCATTGCAAAGAAAATATATCTCGACACACAGACAAATCGTCAGTTGTGCATTGTGACAGAAATAAAGAAAAGAAAAAACACCAGTTCTTACCACTGATATTGAACTGTGGTATGGTTGTGTTCTCTGAGCTGGATAGCTAATTGGCGAAGCTTTCATCGCCCTACTAGGCGATATCTTCAACGCATACTTCAGTTTGTTCAAGCGAGCTTTTAGATTTTTGCACGGGAGAGATGATTAATGAACTCATGGGGAAATATATAAAAGCTCACTTCAAATTGAAGTATGCACTAAAGATGTCGCCTAGTAGGGCGATGAAAGCTTAGGAAATTAACTATCCAGCTCAGAGAACACAACCACATCAAAATCATCCATCTGAGCCACAAATTCAACTTTATTAGGATCGAGCTATGTGTACAAAAATGGAATACATCAGTTAATCAGCATCTCTCTTCTTAATGAAATTATTGAGTCAATGTTTTGTACAATTATTGTAATGAAGATTTTAGTTAATTTCATAAGCAATTTTAGAAAACAAACTGTAGGTATTATATGGTCTTTTGGATAAATAAATGTCAAATTATATTTAACACAGAACTTTTGATCTCCGGAGAGAAGCTTCTTCTGGATGCTTTCATTGTTTCATAAAAAAGTTGATTGATATGGTCAGATATAATAAAATTATCAATGCCCAGGTGATCAGAGCCAATTTAACTGGTAACGCAGTGATTCTCGACTTCTGAGAGCAAAGTTTTAAACCTTGTGCTGTTAGAAATAATGCCTGTTACAAGCAAAAAACAAAAATAAAATAAAAAGCAGATATCGATTAAAACAACAATGAAACAATCGTCTCATGATGTTCGCAGAACAGATTTCATCTTGATCGGAACAGGAATCAACAATCTGCGTCCAATGAGTGCTCAGGACTAGTGTAGACCATCAGAGACATAACGCTGGAGCAGAGAACTATACTGGCAGACCTTAGTTTTCACCGTTCTACACAAAATGTCCAGCACAGCTATGACAGTTATTACTTTATATGTGCAGAATGCTTCAAGGCAATAGTAGTTTCAATACGCATCACAGGACACACTTCACATCGATTTACGCACTCAAAGTAACCGACAAATGAAACTACATGATTCGTTTAGTATTATTATCGCTTTGAATATCATCCACTCAGTTAACTCCCAGTGTTAACAGCCTTTGCATCGTTTGTCCTTATTTACTAGAACTGACTGCGTTGTCACTGGATTTGAGATTTTCAGACATCAGAAGATGCTCGATAAGTCTGGAAAATTTGATGAATTTTGAAGGAGCTATTTTCAGTCAAATGAATATTTAACCTTCACTGTACCTCTTTACAATCAGAAGTTTCAAAAGTCCTCCTGCTAAAAAATGCTACCCACAAAACTAAATGAATTGTGTTGCCAGACACCCTGAACATTAAGGAGTAAGTTATGTGCTCAATCGACATAGAATCTTTATTCACCAATGTTTCTCTTCCTGAAACTGCTGATTTCATTTGCGATTACGTCACAAGCAATGGGAAAACTTAACTATTCCTGCCACTTACATCAGAGACATCACCTTAATATGTACAGAAAATATTAGATTCACTCATGGGTAGATTCATTGTTGGTAATAATGGCAAATCTATGGAAAACTTTATTTCTCTATTTAACCATATTCATCCAAATATCCCAGTGACTTCCAAACTCAAATCGAATAACAAACTCAGTTTCCTGAGTATTTCAGTGACCTGGAGAGATGATGAAACGATTCAGCGATCTATTTTTCGTAAACAGACATGGAGTGGACAGTATCATCAGTTATGTTCCTATCCAGTATAAACGTTCCTTAGTGAAATGTTTGTTCTCAAGGGCCCGAAAATTATGCACGAGTGACACATTGATGGATGAGCTTTGAAAAATAAATTCAGTTTCATTAGCTAATGGTCATCCAGAAAATATTATCAGTTGTCACAGTAAGGATAGACCACATCTAGAAAAGATAGCTTTTGTACCAAAGAAAGCTATCTTTATTAACCTACCATTCAAAGGTGACCACATTAATCACATACATCCTAAACTGTGTGTACAAAAAACAATAGACTTCAACCTTCTCCTAGCATGGACTACTTGACCTTTTTAAATATGATTGGTCATTAGTATGTACTTTTGGTTTTTATATAAATGAGTAATTATCATGATATTTATTTTATTATTGTAAACCATGTTAGTTGTTAAGCGGTTGTAAAGAAACTACGAAATGACGATATCATCTCGCGAAATTTGTCTTCTAAATGCCTTATTCAAATTTATCAAAGGGACTAATTGTATTGATGATTAATTATGGGTCATTCGACATAGGTGGAATAAGGACTCAGTATCAGGAAAATGCCAATGTGCATCATCGATAGCACTTCTGAATTTATAAGAAAGGATTCAGACCAAAACATCGACAATGAAACTGTGGTCTTGGAGGGTTTTGCTCTACTAATATTTTTATTTTATTATTGCAGACCACTGAATTCATTGAACAATCCTCAGGATAAGATACAGATATGTTGCATCATAAACGCTCCTTTGTACTGAAGTTTCTATAGCAGTTTTTATAGCACCACGCCAAACCCTCTTTTGCCTTGCTGGTTGAGGAGTGGCTGGTAAACGAATTATCTAGTAATTTACGCGACGTTCTCAAATGCTCTGGTGACTGATTTCACCTTTTACATTAAATGCAATTTTGAGTTTATTGAAGCAGCGATTCTTCAAGTAGGAGGCTTGTCATTTCGATTACACTAGTGACAGTATAGATAAAATCTGAGTATTCATTCCTGCTGTAATCTGACTAAAGAAAACACGGATATAAATTCAGAACTATTCGAAATGCAATCTACATCTACTCACTGAACAGTTTATAGGGAAATTAAACAGAAACCAACAGTCAATATGGAATTGAATTTAGGCTTCTCTTGTGATGATAAAGTACTGAATACATATGGGACATTGATTCACAGAAAAACATTTTATGAATATTTTCAAATTTGACACAACTGCTTACCACGGTTAAACCAAGTCCAAAAAATACGCTGAAGACTATATATGATGCTACCTGAAAAGAAAAGATGATAACATCCAAAGTTTTAAGTTGTAATGAATTACACGTTATGCCATAAGATTTCTCCGTCTTTAATCGTGGTTATGAATTGCGTATTCTTTGCAGTGATCCTGATAATAATAATAATAAACAATCGTGTTTCATGGTAGATAGTGACTGGTCGTAGAATCCCGGATACGCATCTAGTCTTATTTGAGACACGTCAGTTGGGTATATCCACGATTTCTAGCAGTTGGGTGATAGTGTTCCCACCGAGACAATTTCTAAGGACATCAACAAGTTATCCAGTAGATCAATTGGGCCACAAGAGCCCCCACTTTTGGCAACTAGTTCCAGTTATTGTTTCTTCAGATCAATTTTGTTTTTATCTTCAAATCTTCAGACGTTGTCGAAGCGTCCTTATTTAAAGTCAACATGCGGACAGAGGTAGAAGACACCGGTTCAGTCAGTCAGCAAGAAGAATAAAAGATACTTGAAGAAAATGCAAGCAGTTATTATGATCACTTCACCGTTTTTTCGTCCAAAACTTGACGTAGTACAATTGACAGCATCATTGCAAAATCATCAACAAAACTAGATCAGAGAATGACATGAAGTACTCATGTAATTAAGCAACGAACGTTCCCACCATTCACTTGCGATTTTGTGAAGTGGTAACTTGAGACATCGGTTCAGTGCATCGCGAACAATTTCACTAGTCGTCATTGCAAAGTACACTAGTTATACGATGTGCGAAATATTTTGATGTCATGCAAATAAATTCGAGAAAAAGAAGTAGTTCATTTGAAATGCCACTCACTTTATAGCCGGCAAAGTATACAGCGGCTAACAGAATACACCCCAACAGCATCAATCCGAATGCCAAAATTATCAGAATATTGTCCCCACTTTTACTCAATTGCCTCAGTTGGTATCCAACTAACACGACAATCACGGCTAGAAATATCGCCAAACTCCATGATAATGCTGTCCATAAATGAAGCGATCTTGTCAGACCAGCCAGTCCAGAAGACGACGTTAATACCTGTAAAATGTATAAATCATGCTGAACGTTGAATTATTCTTTTCACACTTGACATGCTAGCAGTGTAGACTTCGTCACGGACCAACATCAGTTAGACAGGTAATTTGAAATCAGAAATCACTGGACACCTGTTTCATTCTACTTTAGGACTCTTCATCAGTGCTCACCCACGAACCCACCAGGGTTCGAATCTAGGGCCTTCAGGTTTTCAAGTCCAGTTCCATTTACTAATGAAGCCACTTTGAACAGAATTCAACGATCCGTGAATTCGCGCTTCTGTTGAATCGTGACACTGAGCCACCCTCAAATACTTACCTGAATGGCAATCAAGCTCGATAGCACCAGTGAAATTAATGCGCATCCTCACAGAAGCCATAATTGAACAGTTTGATTTCTAAAGACAACTTATATTTTTTTAAAAGAAGTGGATGACCTATCCCAATGAAATGAGAATTACAATCTTCATATTTGAGAAATATATAGTTAGCCTTTGACATTACTCAGATGTTTGCTCGAATCACCTAGGCATAAAAGAATAAGAAAGGCTAATCTATGGTCGACACGTAGGCGACAAAATAGTGGTTGTGGGTGGTCAGCCATCTTCACACACGACGTCAAAAATAACCATTCAACAGTTCAACAGTTGAATTGAGCACAGTGTCATAGTTTAACACTCACAATACAACAAGTTATTCTAATTAACAAATTCACGTCTTACTCATGCAAAAATTACCACAGAAATCATGACGATATTCAAGAAATTAGCATCTAGTCTCCTGGTACTGACTTCACTCTCTATTACCAAACACCATTTTTGAAAAAATGATCAAGTCATTACATGGAAAAATCAAATATACGCACAAATATCTAACAGACTGATAAACTCACACTGAGTAAAAGAAAGATGTAATTCACCGGGAATTGTGATTCAACTTTATGAACAAGAAGCAAAATTGCTGCGAAGACTGCACCAATTAATCTGAAATGAATATAATGTTTTGTTGGCTGTTTAATCGATCAATATAAAATAAAGGAGGATATTCAACAAGTGTTTTCGCCTTTATCTGAAATACGAAGCGCTTTGCACCCTTGTCACTCAAAACTCTGCTATCAAATCACTCGTGGTCTTTGCTAATAAAAAAATACATTGGTCTTACTGACAGGCAGCTATTTATTGCTTATAAGAGAACGTGACTACAGCGAAACGATCCGCCCTTTCTAGAAATCTCTACTCCACCTGGTATCATGCAACTCGAAGACTACATAGTGATTGAATTTGACTTTGAACGCTGCTGAAGGTCCGAATCTATCATTGAACACCTGACAATATTCACTTGTGTAACACACTCACATGCATCATTGGAACAGACGGTATCTCCATGAAAATTAGTTTGCGAATTACCACGCATTATAGTTAAGATAAGATAAAGTTAACGGCGGAGTGAAACTAGAATGTCGGGAATCCGTATGCAGCTAGTGAAAGTCTTGGCACAGCTCAATGATATGAAAGCTATATTAGTGCGCAACAGTTAGTACATGTCTAAACATCTTGAATTCGATGTTGGTATTGAACGCCAGAGTAATTCATGCATAATCAAAATGACTTATCCATATTAAGTGGAATCTAAAATCTCTAAAGAGGGTTGAAGAAGTAAGGCAGAATTTGACACAACCTCCCTTGGAGTGATCAAAATCAATCATCATGTAAACACATGCTTTTCTTCATAATTCACAATCCTATCTTGACCAAAAATCCTCTCATAGTTTTCCATAACTAACAACTGACTAACTTGACAACATTAAGTAACCTACTGCATATAAGCTGAGATTTTGTGAATTCTGATTTCATATTACTTTGATAAAGCTATTAGCAGCGTTTAATAGCTGAATATCAGCAGAAACAATGTCGTTTTGTTTTCCTACTTATTGGTAAAAAAGTTTCACTAACCTGACTCATGGAACGTGAAGTCACGAGTGACATTTTACACGAAATGACGATAATTCACAGGAAAAATATATGAAACAGGCTAGCTTCTCAGACATGAACTAAAAATACATCTCAAATATTCTTACAAGACTCATTTTGTGAACTGACTCAGATTTCATTTGAATAATTCAAGTTTACTGAAAGTGAGTTCATTTTCTGACCTATATGCCACTCCTATCCCGCTCACCAATCTTACCGAGAGGCAATCACTTTCGTAAGTTCGGGTCCATAAGCGGTTCTTCGAAATCATTAGAATGACTCAGTCGAAGATGGTTAAGAGCTAAATCTGATAGCCAATTGTTTCACACCCTGTCACAAGTAGGAAACTTTCTCCAGGTATGGCTAAACGTTGCATAATCGCTAGATTAATGTCAGCTGTGCAATTTGGAATTACCTTCAAAACTGGTTTCTGAAGTTTCGTTTCGTATATTCTTAATAGCCCTAAGGAGACTTCACATATATTTCTTCTCTATCAGAACGATTTCACTAATATGAAAAATAACACTAAATCCTCCTAACACTTGTCGGACAGTATTCATCTTCCTCAACGCTATATCTTTGCCATGGTCGAACCATTTCACAGCGAACATCGAGCAACTTCCTTCCCTTCACCCACCGAATCCACTTATGTATTTAAGATCTCACAACTGCAGATAAATCTATGATTGACAGAGCCACCTTTGGTTATGAAAACAACAAATTTAGTGTGCGACTGTGTACGCCTAAATAAACATATATCAAATGCTTCCAAACACCACTGGCTGTACACAGAAGCACCACAGCAACATCTGTGACTGCATGCTATCAACCTATCGACCTGAACGGCATTCGAAAGGGAGATTCAGCTGAAATTAGCACTTCAATTCATGAAAATCCTTCATAATGGCGCCTTAGTAATGGTAAGTCCCATTTTCCAACGACCAGTATGCGTACATGTTCGCCGAGGCGGTCGCACACCTGGACCGTGATTCTTTTACTTGGTCCTTTTATGTAAAACAAACCCTTATATTATTATGAAATTCAAACAGATGATTGCCTCATTTCACCAAAAGAATAAAAGTATATGTTGTTTGGTGACACATGTAGCAAGAAAATGACACACTGAGGAAACATGTTATGACCACACCAATGTTAACTCACACGAGAGCAAGTGACAGATACCATGTTGAAAACAAATTTTGAAGTGTATTTCTAAAACCATGTTGTAAGCAGAAAGTGTTATACCACAGTCTTACATGTTCGCCACCAACAAAGTCGTAGTCACCGTGATCACAACCATGACGCTCGTAAGAAAGACATACTTCATCGAATTATTGTTTTGATCTAAAGTATGAAGTTACTCATTCCTACCTGTAAAAGACATGTTCTTGCAGTAGTCTGTCCGGTGACTGTATTCTACAAACAAGGAGTTTGTGAAAACCCATACATACCAGTAATATTTCGCCCATGCTTGGTTTCATACTAATTCCAAGGAAGAGCAGTTGGTTTGATTGTCAATTAAATCTTCTCAGAATTGTTGCAATCGACTTTCCAAATGTCGACTTACATTATGTCTGCTTTGAAATATCAGAATTTTTCTGACTGTTGATGTCTGAAACAGAGTTGCATCATGTGTACTTCTACAGTCAAAATACTTATAGTCAATATGGAAAGGCAACATAACTTAAAAGTACTCAGATATATGTAAGTGTCCTAGAGCATGCATAGATGAATGGACGCTACAGATTGGATGTTACTGACGCCTGTAACAACCCTGGCCAGTTTAAAATCCAAGTAAGTAGGATCAGTATGACAGTGTTCAGACAATTACAGTGGTAAAAATTGAATTAGTATTACAAATTAGATAATCTTATGAGACATCGATGGTTCAAAATATGAAGTCAACACTGTCTTGATTGCCTCAAATATCTTAAACAGAATATATTTAAGATTGCAACTTACATGATTTCGTCTACAATTATTGAATTCATTGTTATTAACTGCTTTATTTATATACTGTATCGTCTGTTTTCATACTGCGAATGATACATTGAAATAAGTTTGAGTGTACTTTGGACTATTGTCTGTACACTTTAATACAAGGTTGTATGAACTTCCGAGTGTGTAAACAATAGATACCGATTTTGTTAAATTTTGCTATACAAAAGATGTTTTCAAGCATGATTGAATCGATACGAAGATTATCAAAGTTCTAACGGTGAATAATGTGAGACAGCTGGAACTTTTGTAAGATCAAATGTATCGTTTGGATGGAAATAATACATTCATGCGTCGGTGATTCATCCTTAGAATACCAACCATCCATGCACATGTTCTGATTTTGATTCTCGTCAGATGGACACCTCAAGCTCATTTAGAAATTAGTAAGCCATACAAAAGGAGGGCAGATGGGATGTGAGACTAGAAACCACACTTTGCTAAGTAACACTCCTGCTGCTCAAACATAAAAGCCCAGACTTCAAGACATTTGTTTCGCTGAAGAACTCAAAGAAATTGAGAAATACTGTTGCTTATAATGAAGTAAACTTCGGATGGGAATTGTGTCAATAGACCATCAACGATAAAATTAGTTATCTTTATTTCTGATTTAAGCAGAACAATAGATACATGAAACAGTCAGTTCGGTAACACTACATGTAACATTAGAGAGAAATGTTTGGTCTACTAGTGTGAAGAATCCCTAAATTCATTGGCATACTGTAACTTAACTTTCGCCGTCTTCGATGACTGCATTCCACTACACGTATCTTGAAATAGCAGTGAAAATTTAGACCTCATGATGTGAGACTTAAAAAACCGAACTAAAGACAGGCCAGAGGCATCAAATAACATACCTAATAAAAGAAATTACAACAATGAAGTGAACACTGTGTGGTAGACGACTTCTGATGACTTTGTATTCCAGTGTCATAAAACAGACAGTTTATTGAAAAGGACAACAATTTTTAATCACAGTAACACTTGTGATGCGGATGAATTGACTCTGGAAATAACCACACCTGTGAAACATTTAACAAAACTATTTATTGACTTATTGGAAGCTAAATAAAATTGTAACTGTGCAGTTGTAGCAACTTTCTCAGTGTTACTCAACACTAACATTTGCGTATTCTAGCTGTTTCTTTTGTATGAACCTAAAAAGATTTTCTATTTGTTTGACTAGGTACAGTGGTTATTATTTGATGTATATATATACTACTGGTTTGGACGCTTCACTAAATATTCCCGTGCTCAATGAATGTAAAAACTGGATTTAATAATTATCATTATATGTGAAGGGCCAGAGCACTCTGGTAGTGTGTAATTTCATATTAGTTTGTTTATTAGATATGTCACACAGTGAAACAGTATTGTTTACTGGATGACAACGCCTCTCGAACACGATTTATTCCTCATAATCATATCAGTTATATCCAAACTACTTCGAAACTCTCGTCCCATGGTCTTCTTTATTCTTTCTTATTCGTCAGAGGGGCAGTAGTACTTTCCTGACAGCTGTTGATTCGATCAATACACCTTCCGTTATTAATCTCTCTCATCACATTTCACTGTCATGTGTAAATCTATGTACTGGCATAGCTGAACTATTCTCCGTATTTATTATCTTATAAGGGTCAAATAATCTGAATTTCACTAAGTTTTCATGCTCCACAAGTCTGACTAACCACGTTTTAATACTTTGACCAATAAATACGACTTGGCAATCATTGCATCAGAGTATTAGATAAACTAAATTGTTCCGTTCAGTTTGCTTCACAGGATCCTTCAGCTGAGAAAGCTTGTTTCTAAATGATTTTGTATGTTCTGAATGGCACTTGCTGGTAAACCTACGTAATATTTCCTTGAATATAATACTGATGATTTAAATTTCTTATTGTTGATATTATCATCATTCTGGACATGCTTATCACGCATATCGTCCTTAATGCTTTTATTTTTTTCGTTACTATTATCACCACTATCACTAACATTTTTTAAATTTGCTTTTCCCTATCTACCTCTTATTAATTTATCAGGGTAATTATTAAGTTTCAAAGCTTCTCTCATATACTGACCATTTTCCTATTAGCAAAGCATTTCACCAATCCTATTTTTACTGACATAGGATGAGATGATCGGAAATCTAAATATTGGTTTACATGTGTATGCGAGTTTTCTGTAAACACTAGTGTTTCACTTCCCATCCTCCTTCCCTTTCATGCCACAATCTAACAGTGGAAACTTCCAAATCCATAAGTGAATTTATTTGCTTTCACCTTCAACTTATGTCCTGTGTTCTAACCACTCAGGTGAATGTGTCATCCACATACTTCCAGCATACTTTTGAGAAAGGCTGGACATGTCACAGGAGTAATTCTTACTTGTCCCGGATATCTGAAATGTTCTACTACCCCTATCTTGTTAGTGAGATGATGAACTGACGAAAGTGCATATTGGTTTATTGAATGATAAAGTCGTCAACAGATGCTGTGAATGACATCTCCAACCTACGTTCAAATTTGTTTTTTTACAGAGTTAGCTGATTCTTTTACAGGTTCACTGGAGCATTCATCGCAGTTCTGCTGATTTTTATTCCGGAACTCGAGGTCATCTTTCCACTGAACTATATGCTTGCTGTGCTCAGTGTAAGTGCATCACTTTTGGCGAAAATTGTGTGCATATGAATCTGCTTTTTCTTCTACAACTCCCTGGCCACCGTTCATGAATTAAATACGTAGAAAAGTAATAATTTGTAATGAAATATTGAGTTTCTATCAGTGGTTTGACTGCTGATCTACTGATTATGGTGATCACTGTTGCAGTATTTATTTGATATGTTGAATATTGTTCGCAATACCAGATGTCGTATATTAGTTTTTGATGCGTTAATCAATTACCCGATAGAGTGAAGCAAAATGTGCGTTAGTGAATTCTTTCCTGGATGGCGTGGCATGCAGGATGTATGATTCTTGTTAAAGAATGTGAACTGGTAGCAGAATGATGAAGACAAGGTTTTGATGATTTGTGTGGTGTTTTCATGTTATGTTTAAATCAGATGAATGAGACTACTATTCAGCGCTTCTCAATATATGTAAACTACTCACAGGAACAGTTGATTTCATTCCGGATGCAAAATGAAAGCTACTGTTAGCTTTACGTTTCCCTTAAGTACGGATACATTCAAAAAGCTTTGATTCTGTTATCAAAGAGCTCGTCATCCGATTGGATTGAAGCAATTAGGCATATTTCCAACTTCACCTGATATCAAACTATTACGAGAATCGGCCATTTGCAGGAATGTCAAAAGCCAAAGTGCATCTCTCTTGTAAAACATGCAAATATTGAGGAAAGTGTTTACTGACACCACACTCTAGACTCTGTAGTGGAACCCTAATGAGAAGCGACCAGTTAGGTATGAGTTCAAGGGTGATATGATTGAGATAATGTGCGGAGAAAATAAAAGTTTGACACCAGTTTCACAGCCAACGCAAAGGAATTCAGAGAATCAAGTGAAATGGGGATGTGCTGTTGAAGTCCTACACTACATCCAGAACCTAAGAGAATACTTCAATTATGAATAGCTTGAATAACGTGGACATTAAGTCTCAAGTCTAGCAACAAATGCCAGAAGAAGGCATCTTTGACCATCAGGGAAGTCATATCTTTTCAGCATTCTATCTCAATGTTTTTATTCAACGCTTCAAATTCACATATTAAAGAGAAGCAGGTTAGCAAAACTCATCCATCCACGATGTTTTACATAAGCTCTACTTTAAAACGCTTCTTCGATTTTCGAAAATCTGAATGTTTCGATCTTTGAAAAAGAGAGCACAATTTGTTAACGTAATATTATTCTCTAACAAATCACGAGTACTAAGAATTTGAAATCATCCAAAGGCATACGTTCCATCATATCACTCACGTTGTTTCTGAAGTGTTTGTAAACAGCTACACTTTCAGTGTTGATCAAAGTTATTTCTTATAATCTGTAATACAAAGGGTTTAGCTGTTCAGCTAGTGGAAATAAAGTCTACTAAACTGAAGACAAACGATAAACATATTCTCATTGTGTATGCCTAGTAAATATATGCATTTGCGCATCGTATTTCACCAATTTAAAATTCAAAAGCCAAATGTTGTAAATTTAAGTTTCCATGGTTATATTTGCAAAACTCAAGTCACAGTGATTTTCTGGTGAGTCATAAGGACGTGGATTCATTCATTGTGCGCTTTCAATTGCACTATATGCTAGACAATCTACGTAATGTAGCAAAATCTTTGAAAATCTGTTACGTTTTATTTGGCAGATCACTATGACTTTACAGTGTCCTATTTTAGTATGTCAGATGGATGAATGCCTCTGTTAAGAAGAAAAGACCAGACATGCAACGCAGAGAACTAAATAGTGTTTCGTTGGTTAGGAAGTAGCCCATACCAAAGTTTGAAAGTGGGCTACATGGTTCACATTGTATTAGGCTCATGTATATTATAGTCGTTTTGTGAGGCATTATCCTGAAATTACCAAACCTTTAAATCATCTAACAAAAGAAATATCCTTCTCGTTGGAAGAGAACAGAGAACTGTGACCATCATTTCTCTACACAGCTAGATTAATTGTTCTCGACGCCAGAATGAGAGAATTCTGATTTCTTTTCATGTTTTCTTCGATATTTCGTCTCCTAGTTCTATTTAGGCTGCTATATATTTCATTCGATAGCGTCGATCGAGAGGTGATTTGGAAACTACTTCGCTACTACCAGGTTTCGCCAACAATTAAACATCTCATCCACCAGTTGTGTGACAGTGCTGCATGCCAAGTAATCCACAACGGGAAACTCACGGAATCCTTCGAAGTGAAGACTGGAGTAAGACAAGGTGGGCTGCCTACTATCTCCAATGATTTTCCTGATTGCGGTAGACCAGACAATACGATAGACAGAGGCGGGCAGCGAGGAGACAGGCATAAAATGGACCCACACAAAAACTTGGAGGATCTGCACTTCGACGATGATATTTGTCTGATTTCACACAAACTGGAAGATCTGCAGGTGAAAAGCAACATGTTGGCAGAAGAAGCATCAAATATAGGACAAAAATAGGTGAATATAGAGAAAACAGAAGTGATGAAGGTTCCTGGCCAATAGCAACAGCATAAATCAGAGAAATCTGAAAGAAGCAACCTCCTTTACCTGCCTACCTAGGAAACATCATTTCATCTACAGGCGTAACTGACGAGGATATCAAAGCAAGGATCAGGAAAGCAAGGCAAGCTTTCATTTATCTCAAGTCTGTGTGGAGGTCAACACCACTCAGCATGAAAATGAGAATAAGAATCGGATTTTCAACTCCATTGTGAAGTCAGTGCTACTTGCTATACGGATCAGAGGCTTGGCGCGGCGTCACGAAGAGCACTTCAAACAAACTACAGACCTTCATCAACAGCTGTCTTCGCTCAATACTCAAGATGAGATGGCCGGCCAGAAAAAATCAGAACAGGGAGGGATTTCTGGGAGCGAACCAACCCATCAGGAACCAACTGTGTAACATATATGCAGGAAGAAATGCAAGTGGATCGGCCATACTGTGAGACTTTATTAAATGAGACGCATTTACGCTGTTCAAATACGCTGCATACCATTAAAAAACCAATTCATGCACCGATTTGGAATTTCGACGTCTATTAATTGAAAATATCATAAGATTATGTAAGTGTTTTCACAAGTTTCTTCCAATTTATAACGCAGGCCATTGATTCGGATATTCGAAAGATTTTGGCAGTTACTTGTGAAATAAGAGGCATTTCGTAGAAAGATAACAGTGGTCACAGGTTCATTTATCTTGCACGACAACACACTGAGGCATTACCTTGTTATTACTCAAAAACAAGTGTGTGTTAGATCATGCATGATTGGATGTTCAAATAGTCAGAGTGGCGTAGGCGTCAAACATCGTTCACTGTGTATTCAGACATAACGTTCGATACAACCTTGAGACACATTACCAATCATGACTATTTCTAATTTATTATAAATATCAGATTGACACACAACACACACTCATCGAGTAAATTCTGGAAGCTTTGTGGTGAAAAACGTGTTCACGTAAGGTTACTTTTGTAAGGCCGACTTCATAAATTTTCAAAGTTTATTCTGACAATTAATCCGATAGTCTTGTTTCTTCCTTACCTGTGAAGGTGAACCACAGTGCAATGTCAAAGGTTCGCATGAATATTTTCAGCACTTCATTTCTAGAATACAATCACCTCAGTAATAACTGCAAGGAAGTGTATTATAAAGGTAAGATAAATTGTTTGTTTTACATCGAATCGACAATCCATTGAAGTACATCATCTCCGCATGTGTGATGATCGCGGTGACGATGATCATCACCTTGTTGGTATCGAACATGTAAGAATTTCAAATTATGGTTTGTTTTCACACTGCTGTTTCAGAGACGCAGGAAGAGTTCTTATCGCAGATAATACATCCATTACTCTGATGTGAGTGAGTCGTTTGAAATGCAGTTACCACACATAGATATTTTAAAATTCAATAAATATTTTAGTGCTAATGGCCCACATCAACAAACATCTCCATGTTGAATAATGTGATGACGATAATGCACACTGCTCCATTTTATCAAACCATGTTGACTGATTAACCGAAACAGTCTAATCTCTTACAGGTTCGTCTGTGGCACTCTCGCGTTGGGCTTGCTACTTGTTCCAAATTTTGAAGAAACATCCCCGGTGAACTACATATTAGCCGCAGTGAGTGTAAGTATATCATTCAGTCACTTATGTTTCTATATGTGTTTGTTTCTGACACCCACATATCATGTCACTAAATAAATGTCAACAAAATACTTCCTTGTAATCGAATATGACGACTGAATCAGTGAATTAGCAGTCTGTGAATCTACTAATTCTCGTAACCAATGACTCACTACTGATTTGAAATGTTGAGTATGCGTTGCAACAGCAGATATCGAACATTAATGTCGTTTGAGTGATACAGTGTAATGACAACTGTGTTATGCAAAGTTTTTTGAGACGTGCAATTGAATCCTTCTTAAAATAAGGTTGTATATATAACACATGCTTCATACGAGGTAATCAGTGGAAACTAACAGCTGAATGGTGGTCAAAATGTATTGATGAATGGTGAAGGGTCTTTGACAGGCGGAATATGATGAATAACAGATGGGCTTTTCTAACCATTGCAAATTCTTAGATTACCACCATAATATTACGCTGACTATGCTGCAATTTTTAAGTCAATAAATCTGCTCATGGATTGTGAGAAAACAGGAATATGTCAGAGGGATAAAATGAAACTAAGCGAACTGGACTTCGTGGACGATTTATGTTTAATGTCACACAAATCTGAAGATCTGCAGGTGAAAGAGAACAGGTTGTCAAGGGAAGAAGTGAAGTTAGGACCTCAGATACACGTGAAGAAGATCGAGGTGAGAAGCTGCCTACTGAACAACAACAATCACTAACGACAGTGGCAGTGGCAGTTTGAAGGAGATCGCTTCTTTCAGTTTCCTGGTCAGGCAGTAAAGTTTTAAAATGCAGTCAGACGGAACAGATGAAGACAAATCAGAGGTGAGATCTAAAGATGAAGACAGACCTTCATTAATGTGACATCATCGAGGAAATCTGATGTGATGAGCGCACAGAACACGTCCTTGTTTGTTTGTGTTCCAAAGACTTGGAGCGCGCGTCAACGCAAGCATTTCCAACAGCCCACTGCCTCGACATTGAAGATCACATAATCATAAAGATTAGCAACATGGAGTTATGGAAACGAACCAATTGGGAATCTTTCGCCTGACGAATTTACAGAAACACATCATGAGGAGACCACTGAGTTAATTCACGCACCAGGGATGCCTTCCAATAGAATTCGAATGAAAAATGACGTGTTGGGCGTCTGTGTATGATGTAAACGAGGTGATGAGCGATCATCGGTAATTCTGGAAGCAGCCGAATAGTACAGTAAGAAACTGTATGAAGTGAAGGTTTTCTTCTGAATCTCCATTTTCCACCGGTGGTGAAATAGGGGATAATAATGATACTGTTTTCTGAACCATGTTGCATCACAGAAATACTACGAGTTATGATGTTGTGTAATGATGAGAATTTGAGACGCAGTATTGCACTACATGTTGAGAACTTCACACTGCATACTAAATATACTGTTGCTTGGAGTAAATCACTTATATTAACTATTGTTATTATTACTAGTTATTTTAAGAATTTTTCAAGAGAAAGAAATGCTTGTGCTGAATGTATAAATACCACTCAATAAGCCATAGAATCTGGTGATGATTTGCCTTAGTCTGTTTTATATACATGATCCAACATGTTCGAATGCAGTTCATGATTTCAGGATTAAGGTTGGATTTCAGGTTGCAACTGATGAAGCTATATTACCTCAATGTCAGAAAATGTTTTATTATTCCTCTTGTTTACCAGCGTTGTGAAATTTCCAGCTTCGATAGTTATTAAACGTCATCAGATGACTTCAGCACACTCTCCTGTGTTACTCTTATCTGCAAATTTATGATGATTCGCAAAACAAAAACTGGACGAAAACTGCATTAACTGTCCAACCTGGAATTTGTTTGTATCACTTGAATTATGTATGCGTTTCCTTTATCCCTGTGATATTCTTCTGGAATGATGACAGAAGAGATCAATTGTCGATGGGATACTGAAGGAAATCAAAAGAATTACCAGTTGGGTATTCAGTCCATCAGCGCAGACGTTTTTTCAGAGACAAATTGTTTTGCGTGGACAATAAATACAGTGTTCAAAATATTCTAACTTTTGATGTTAATAATATAGCGTGAAACGAAACATAATAATTAACATTTGCCTTCAATACATTTCATGTTTCCACATTGCAGGTATTTATTTCGTCCTTTGCTTTCGCTGTTGTTACGTCAGGGGTGAAATTGTGGAGTCTGTTATCATGGTCGGTGACTATATTTCTCGCTGTGATCGCAATAACAGTGGGATACAAAATGAAGCGTTTGGATCTGAAAGGCTACTATGTCGTCGGTTATGTGATATTTGGATTGATGTTTATTGGTGCCATATTTTTCATTATATTTTTCTCCGTTCAATTTCAAGTAAGTGGCATTTCAATCGGACGACTGACTGTCCTGTTTATTTCACGAGTCCTCTTTGGTGTGGCATATATAACTTTCAAATTATTACTGATCAATTCGTCATGGACATATTGATAGATTGAACTACTCGTAAATGAATGTTAGTCATAGACTAAGCTACAAATCGTAGAATGCATCATCACACCTCATATAGCATAACTCTTCCGAGATTACTACAATGTCGTAGTGCAAATTGATCTTCTCATCACTGGAGTCACCAGCGTCACTAATTCATTATGCTCTATGAAGACGAAATTCGACAACTGTGACCATGTAAGACAATCGTTGTCGTCATACACCTTGAATTGACATTCTCTGCTTCACGTTCACCACACAGAAAACTTGTGGATTTCCATTTGTGTTCCTATTATCATACACCATGCACACTTGAGATAATAACAAACGCTGAATACTGGTATACATCAGCTACGTCATATACATTGCGAATTTACCGAAAAATGTAAACATTGTTGAATTCGTGACCATATTTTTGAGATGAACAGTCACTTTTTCCGTTCCAACAACGCTTAGTAAGCATGACTTGCTTTCTTGCTTTTCCTTGCAGAAAACCGCCAACGCAGTATCGAGTGTGATTCTAGTACTCGGTTTAATTTTGGTGAGTTAGATTGTAGAATCTGTTAGTATTTGTGAAATTATTGCACACAAACTTAGGACGCTCTAGGTGAGAATTATATTCTCCATGTTTCCGAAACTTACTCGCATCCAACATGGCACAAATATATGCTTCACTATTGTTTATATCGCATATGATGCAGTTTGGTGATTAGGAGGGGAATTCACAGTGAATAATTCTGATATTTCATTGAGTTGAGGACAAGGTCAAGTGTTAAACCCAGTATCAATAAACACAATGCACAGTACGCATCACGATAGTGTCATATTTGGATATTCGGCGTTTATCCTTAGATTTCCTAAAACGCACTAGGATGTACTACATACTAGAGAACAGAATCAGTAGATTCGTTGAAGCTACTTATTCTTATTCACCTCGTGTATAAGCACAATATTTCGCAATGCGTATATAAACCTAAATGCTTGTTACTCCGAATTAAGGATTCATCATTGAGTTCATTATATAGGTTGAATTTTAACAATTTGCTTGGGCCATATCGATTTGCAAATCTTAGCATGAAAAAGAAAATCCAGTGAAGAATAATCTGCGTCAAATCGAATTTGCGATCTGCAATTTATTCATTTCGTGTAGTTCGACATTACTCCACAGTTTACTTTGGAAACCAAAATCATTCAGATCACGATTTGATCTGCTTCCTCAGATAAATGATAATCAAGAAGGCAACGATAAATCCGCGAAACTAGATAAAATTGATTGATTGAAATGACTAGTTGAATGTGACTCACATCAACCATCAGTGCACGCTGGCTAGCTAGACTATCGAAGCTATCTGAATACCGGTCTGCCTTTCTAATTGTTTGAAGCTAAGCATCGATCTATCCAGGAATTCATCTCAATCAGTCAGTAGTTTACAGTTTTGTGCACATGATTCACGTCAGTTAATATGCTTACAATGTCTTCATAATAGTATCTCTTTCATTTATTTTTCTCATGACAGGCATTAGTTCTCAGTGGACAAGAATTAAAACGTTGTAATGATATGGCGACCGACTCTTTCCTATCATTCAAGCTGGCTTTACTCACCTGGACGTTAGTGTTCTTGCAGTATATTACCATAACATATTTCATTCCAATTTTCCTCGTAGATGACAGTCCACAACCCGATAGACTGTTTCGTACATCACATACTATCTGAGTGTTAGTGATTATTGTGGTTTCAAAAATAAAGGTGTAAGAATTATCCTCCGGCATAATTTTCAATTCATGATTTTAATACTATTGAGTTCGCTCAGCTAACGGCTATTTCGATTACTGTATCTTCACACAACATAGCTAGTCTTTTTCGCTAGTCATCGTTGATGTCACTGAATACTTTTAGGAGGTATTATTCAAGTGGCTTAAGGACATATGTTCATAACTGTCACCTGTGATGGCCTGAGTTTAAAATCTGCTTCAACAATAAATTAAAGTCAAAGGTCGTATAGGTTTCTTCGAAATGGAAGTATTACTCTGAAGATTTTCTTGCCGGATATTCTGGGGTATGAAAAGTCTAAAATATGAATAAGTCAGTGTGAAGTAGAAACGCATCCTGACGACGTTTTATTTGAGTGAGTTGTCGATAAAATCGAATCTAATGTGAACGTTTATTTTACAATGCATTGAATAGTGATGTAAAGGACCCTGAACATATTTTTGTCTGGCAGGTGGTCATAGAAATACTGAGGACATTAATACGCTGGTTATATGCTGCTATGCGACAATTTACTTCAATTCCTCTGTATGAATGTTGGATAAAGTAAGTCTGGCTGATGTTTAGGCATGTTAATCAAAGTGATCTTCGTTCGTATTCTGTGCACCTATCAACTTAAGTAGCACTTTCATAACTGCGTTGTAGGTAGCGTACCCCTATCTTGTCGT